ATTCTGGAGCCTCAACGCCCCTCTGCGGCAGCGCAATTCAGAGGAGAGCGGCCGCATCAAAGGAGGGTAATACGCCGGAGAAGGGGTGATCAGTTGGCAATCATGAGTTAATAGAGCCCTTTGCCATTGAAACGCTGCGAAGCGTCCGCGACTTGGAGAGGCCTGCCCGTTCCAGGAAGACCCCCGGACACGGTCAATATCGCGAAAGGACTGACCATGCATTCACAACAGAAGAAAGTAGGCCTTCAGTGCCATTTTGGAAGGTTCAGTACACTTTGTTACATTAATGTTTAAGGGGACAAGCCGATGAAAAAGGATGTAGTTTATTTTTATAACAATCTAATAGTTATTCCTAGAATTTCATATTTAAAACCGACTGAGTTCACGGCAACTATTGCCACCCCGGGAGTGGTGTGTCAGGGTATCAACTGAGGTCACTGCAATGCCTCTGACTGGGAGGTTCTAGTTTATTGTTCCGGCGGTGGCAGGGTTTTCAACACTAGACAGCTCGGTCGAGACCTGATGCTATCTAAAAAGAATTCTACCAACCGGTTGCTCTGATCGGTACTTTTCATTAGTTTCCCCGATCAATATCAGTCGAATGCTGAAGCATTACCCTACCAAACGAGCCGTGGACCGTGCGCGATCTTTCCTTCCCATTCCTTGTCCAATTCTAAACCTTACACATACTAACACTAACACGCACTACACTACCACACATGCCGGGAGACCGGTCGGGAGCTTAGAGCTTGTCTCGGCGCGGCTGGGGCCGGGCCCCGCTGGTGAGAGATACCTGATATCACTGCAGTTTTTCAGACTGAAGGGTTCTAGGATACGAACTCTGTCGGTGGCAAGATTTTCGACACTGGCTAGTCAACTAGGTCGAGTTCAGCCACTGTTTGGAGAAGTATTCCAGTGTCCGACTGCTCTGATCGGTAGTTTTCCGTGGTTTCTCCGGTCAATACCAGACTAATACCGGAGCAATACCCCAACAATACAACGTAAATACATGTTTTTATTTTCCCTGAAGACGAGATGTCCGTCTGACTGTGAACAACAATAACGCCTCAAGTTTTAGAGATTAATATGAGTGAATATGGTGTAGGTTCATGTGTAGAATATTGAAAGAATAATACAGTATGATATAATTATCGTCATAATATACTACTGACGCAATGATTGTATTTGAAGTGCATAAATGGGTTCGTGTGGTGAATTTGATTGTAAAAGAAAATATTGCAATGCGTCTCGTATCTACGTCAGCATTTAAATTGCTTAAAGAGAAACTACTAAAGGGTAAGTGGTTGAGAATTTTAAGTGAACATGTTTTTTCTGACCAACACCAGGTAGATGCCGAAGCAATAAACAGGCCAAGGAGAGCACGCGACCTTTTCTTCCTCTCTTTGTCCTCTCTACACCCCTTTTTTACACCCACTTACACTCACATGCACTACACTACCATACTTGGCTGAAGGCCAGCAGGGAGCTTAGAGCTTGTCGCGGGTGAGCGATGTCCCGTAGGTCAGAGATACCTGGTTAGGGAGAGTCCCTGCAAGCCAACGTAGGTAGGCGCCGGATCCCCACAAAACGGGGGAAGACCACCGACACTTATCAATTAAAAACATTCACTAAGCTTACGGGACTAACTTACCGGTCATTGTCACGCCCGGAAATACTAATTAATTAATCAATCAATATACATCATTTAATACAACATAACAGGAAACCAGTCAGGCACAGGTCCCGGCTAAGGCGGTGCGCTCCAGGCGCCGATACATGGAGAGAGCGACCCGCAGCCCGACGTGTGGGTCAGCACCAAATCTCACGCCCCAGCGGGGGAGGCACACAATCACCTCCCGGAATATAGCATGCGCAACACCTCGGGAATCAAATAATCAAAGTATCAGTAATATTAAAAATGTGTTTGTGGGATCGGGTTTATTCAGAGACGCGTAATTCTAAGTGTTGGTTTATTTACAACTTCAAAGTGTACACCAAACAATAGACACTAAATGACACATCACCACATGCACCTCCGTCACATCTGTCTAGAGTATACTGTCCCTTCCTTCTCGCTCCCGCCTTCCCAGGTCTTCCATCCCGCTAGCTTTGTCCGGAGAGCACTGACGCGTCAGCTCGTAAATCGTTCATCCCACAGGTATTTTACTTATTTGGCAGAAAATATCCGCTCTATATACACAGAATTACTCATTCTCCATCCCTTCGACAGTATATTTTACACAAATTTAGTCTATAAATACAATTTATTTTTTAAAACGAGTGTCTTCTGTACGTAGGTCATTTACAAAAAAGTTTCTTTGCGAGGTGAGAACAACGGAATAAGACAATGAGTCATTAACTCTAATTTTAGAATTCGGCAATTCCATTATATTTCACCGGAGATTGAAAAGCGGAACAACAGCGAACAGACGTTATTTAGCGTGTGATTGTCTTGTCAGCGAATTGTTCGCTGGGTAAAACTTTTGAATTACCTTATTTCCTGCCAACGCAGAAAATTAGTTTTTACGGGTGCGTTGAACAGAGTCAAATTCTCAGCGCAACATGCGTTCTGATTACTGTGTTAGAAAATTGTCATAAATACGCGTGTCTGTAGGTTTTACTACCATTTCAGAAGCAATTAGCAATATTTGCGCTTTATTTGTAACGTAAACATTAGTTCTACCAATCCAAAAAGTAGTCTTAATTACTTTTAAATCCTGCACAAATTATCAGTAAAAAAACATTTGTCCCTGTTTTATGTACTATAAATAGTTTCCTTTTTGAAAATATATATTTATAGTGAAGAGGACAGGTGCAAAGTTTCATTGTGCTGTGTTGTTCATTAAGGTATATATTTAAATATTAAAGGCAGGAGAAGTGCAGAAAGGATAAGATACGTTTTTGAAACAACAGTAGGACAATCCGTGTTTCGGAAAAATCAAACAAGGTCTAATTCAATTCAAGTTAAATTTTATATTAGAAAACTTCAAATTAATAAGTGATTAATTTTTAAATAAATGATTTAATTGAAATTATTAGTGTAAAGAAGCGCTTACGAAAATACTCCAAATAGTCTTATGATAAGAAAGCCAATGTAAATTATATTTTCTTTCACAGGACTTGTGAAAAAAAACACGAGAAAAAAGTACTGTAATCTCAGTGACCAATGAAAAATTGTAAGCTTATTAAATAAATTCAAAATTCTCTAAAGAAGACGAAACTTCTCAAGTGGCGTATGTAGTACTGTCAAATCATCATGTTGAATGGGTGTGGTTTATCGCAACAGTAGACATTTGATTCATTACTCTGGACACGATAATCACTTTTATTTGCATTCAGGGGCTTGGTGTAGCAGTTTGTTTTCAGAGGCCCGTTTTAATATTTCATCCACCATGGAAATGTATTATTAGAATTTTATTCTCTTATTTTCAAACTTTGTGCACCATATTTGCAAAAATTTTGTTACGCAATATAAAAAATGGGTTTTAAAGAGTATTTTTCTGGAATTGAGGATCGTTTTTGTTTTTTTTTTTTGCTTGTTCTTTGATAATAGGTTTAGACCATTTTGTTTCAAAATATTTGTAATTTTACTTAATAATGGTATTATTATCGATACATTAGTAATTTTTCGTTTTACTCGTTTTTTTACGCTGGTTATTATTATAGATTAGTAATTATACACAATCATTAGAGATTAAATTATAAAGTTTACGTACACTACAAAAATACAATTTAACAGAAAATGTTGAATGCAATGATGCCGTAAGAGATTTGTTTAACATCAAAACAGAATTTGCTTGTTTTAGAGCGGTGGTAAAAACACAGTTTGTCACGAAATTATGTGCATTGCTTTTAATTGAATGAGAAAAAAATCGCTTTTTATTTGTGTCAGTTTATAGTAAGGCACTTACTGCAGTAGAGTGCGTAATCTTATCTGAATTTTGAAACTAGACCCATTACGAAATACAAATCTCCTGTTCAGATACCTTTGCTTGCAAGGTCTGTTTGTGAACAAGATATTTTAACACAATGTATATATTACATTGACTGTAATTATTAAAAATTATTTGACATGTAATAAATCATGCGCATTTTAATACGTAATCAGAAGGGGAAAATAATTTCAATTAACACTTTCTGTCTTTCTTTATTTCCTTTTCCTCTTCTCGCATTCCTATTCCATCCAACGCTATCGAAAAACCGATAATTTTTCCACATTCAGTAACTGAAACCTTTCTGTAAAAAAGGCCCTAAAACAGACGAGTATATTAAAGATGAAATACCGAACTTAAATGATAAAACACAAAAATACAGCTTCCACAATTCTATAAGCGAAAAAAATAACTTGAAACGAAACAGGCCATATTCGATTTTTTAAAAGTTGAAGAAGACATAAGAAAAGTCATTTGAAGGTCATTTCTTATGTCTACTCGGAAATTGTTTTACGTTCTTAATAATATTCTTCATTGAGTTACAACCACACTAGATGACGTCTTAGTTTCTTATGTATTATTACAAATTTATGATTCTATATTGAAAAAAGAAAAAATGAAATTGACGACAAGGTATAGGATATTCCATTAATATGAATTAGTGTCTCATAGAAAATATTAAATATAATTGTTATTCAAATGACGAAGGATCACAATTTATTGAGAGAATGAATTATTTTCCTTTAGCCTCAAGGATTCCGTGCACTTTACGTAATATCAGTCTAATTAAAACTTTTTTTCAACATTGAAACTTATTAGTAAAACTTTGAAAGTGCCATTCATTTATTATATGATTGATTAAACTAGATGACAAAATTTCAATAGTTTAAAACAAAATTGTATATTCACGACACAGTTTCAGTTCACTTTCCAGTTATTTTCTGGACACAGGACAGTGCTCAATATTTTTGTGTTACAATTACAAAGAAATTTCAAGTTTTTTACGGTTCGTCGATTTCTAACAATTTATTGTGCAATTGCATTCAAATATATTAATGTAGCACTTACCTTGAAGAGCTTTTAAGTATGCCTTTCCAGCCTGGATTAATTGTCTAGCGCCTGGGTTGAATTTGTCAAGTATATTCTGCAACAAAATTAACACGTAATACAACACATGAAATGAAAGTGAAATATAATTGAGAATTTATATCTTTAACGTAATGAAAAATAGTATCTGTTATATTTCCATTTTGGGGGAAGGGTATCGTGATTATGGAAATATTTTTAACACAAAATAAACGAGATTTGAAACCGCTTAATTTCACAAATTTGAACGCATTCACCTAGCAAAGAAAAAAGTGCAAGGCAGAGGAAGAAAGAGAAAAAGAAAGAGTTATAATGAATGGTTTGTATTGAAGGGCTTGGGGACAATAACAAGATAAGCTACACTAGTCACAGGACGTCTCCCGCTATTCAATGCTAATGTTAATAAATCTATTTTGGACACAGGGTGATATTTCTCGAAACGATATTTGTCTTGTTCATATTTATTATGGGCTTAGGTCAGTAACGTGATGAGTCATACTTCGATCAAATAGAGAATATAATTAACATTTATTTTATTTTATTATTTTATTTAATAGGTAATTATTACAGACAAATTAGCTTACTTGATCCTATGTGGCTAGGCCGAAGGCCTTTATGCCATTACAATACCTACATCCTTTCGCGTTCTAATCTTTCGAATTCTGGTATTCACCCCAAATGGTCTCTCCATCGCATCAAAGCCGCGGAAAAGAGACCATAAGGTACGGCTCAGGAAAAAAACCCTGAAGGGGGAAAAACCTGCCGTCAGAAGCCGAGTACGTTCTAATCTATCCGACGTTTATTTTAGCTATTTTATTTTCTGGCGCGGGCGTCCCGCCGTCTCCTTCCAGTGCTTGGCCTCCTCAGCACCTGAAATCAAACAGCGCCACAGAAGATCGTCCGCACCAACGCCTCTGCCCTTATATTTTCGATCCCCCCTTACCTTCCCCCCTAATGAGCTCTATAATAAACATTTACTAATAGCGAGATACTTCCTACGGCTAGTGTGATTAATGTTATTACTGCTCCAAATTCTTCAATTATATATTGCAAAAAATTCAATTATAATGTTATTGATAGGAAAACGATAAATATAAAATATATGGAATTGACAATATTGGGATGCAGCTGAAGTGGATTTGTAGTCTCGATCGTCAGAAAGTCACAGATGCGTCATCAACTTTCTGACGATAGCTTCTTCTTTTGAGAAATGAGTCTTTCTTAACACAAAAATAACAATTTAATGTCGAACATTCGTCTTACAGATTCACAATTCGTATTAACTTTTCCAAACAGTCAGAAGTTATGTCACTAATCTCTTAAGGAAATCATGCGTTAAAATACATCCTTTGGAACCAAGAAACCCCTTAGTCTTGCCTCCACAAACGCACGCTTGTTTATCTACGGCCCTCTAACAGGATACCCTATAGGTAGGAACAAATGACAACGATAACCCGCCAATTTACAGAATTCGTTGTCTTGTGCGTACTACAGGATGTAAATAGAACCAACAACTACAGACCTTTATATTACATTATAAACTTAATGCTGAACTCATCGTTCGTGGGCTGTAATAGTGACATATCAAAAGATGTGGTGTTGAGATAAAAATTTGAAGTATTCACCTTATATTGAAAAGTATCATTCTTGCATTCACACCTCTCTTGTTTGTCGGTGGAATACTATTATGTAAGATATGCTGCTGGAAGGTAGACCAATCTGCAATTATGGAGGATGCACTAACTCAAAAATTGTTATTTATATGTTAATGATAGTCCTCAATCCCCTGTTTCTAACGGGCTCATTTGTTTCGCAACTTCGCTCTAATTACAATACTCAAGAGGTTCAAGTTTACATTCTTTTGGAACATGTAAAAAGTGACAACGCCTCCCTGTCCGCAGATGTGTTTATCACATTATATTTATGCGTGGTTATAGCGCGTGACTTCCAGATCACCCAGATAGAAGTTTCACGTCGAAAGGAGTGTGTACATTTTGGCGTCCCTCTCTTTCTCTGTCTTACTGCCGGAGACTATTTGCGTACATAACAAATAAAATTTCTGTGAAAGCAAACACACTTAAAGCATTAACTACCGATGAACACCGATTCAGATTGACAGATTACATATTAATACAAATTTTCTCTCAGATTTTGTACTGATTTTGAACATTTCTGAGCAGCCTAGAAAAATAATTGAGAGGGTCGCAACACCAAAATATTACTCCAAATTTAGTTATGCCTTGAAATATGAATCCGGAAATGCAGATTTTGCTGCCAGGCGACGACGATGTTGCTGTTTAACCCCGCGTCCGGCACGAAGTTTGACTGTGACGGCTAACGGTGGAGGGACTGAAAATCAGGAGGGGGCTTGGGGTGGGCCAGGTGAGGGCGACGCACACGGATCGGGGCGGGCCGCGGCGGGCGGCGTGCCGGCATGGGGCCGGCGGGCGGGGGCCGGACTCCGGGGGGGACGAGGGCGGGTCGGTGGCGGGTGCTGAGATGAGGTGGGTTGTCGCGGCTTCGTGTGTTGGATTGATCGACTTATCATAACAAGAGTCGGAGAGAAACAGTGCCACAAGGTACAGCAATCGCGAGTCCATGGGGGCGCGCGGATGTAGCGGAGCGGCAGGAGAGGGAACTAGGCGTAGCAGTGTCTTAGGGGGGGGGGTCATATATCGCGGATGGCGGGGGCGCGGGTTGCGGCATTGCGGCGGCGTGAAAAGACAGTTGCCCGGACTAAAACGACGCATAGATGGAAATAGTATGTCGGGCAGGCAGTGGGCTTCTGAAGGGCCAGCATGAGTGCACATCGATGCGCGGGGCGGGAGTGGAGGCCGGCGCGCGGTCGACCTCAGGGCGGGGCGGGGTGGACGGAGCGGGCGTGGGCGCGGGGGGCGGAGCGGGCGGAGTGCGAGCGGAGCGGGGCGGTGAGCGGGCGGGTGGAGCGAGCGTGGGCGGACGGGCGGGCGGAGTCGCCGCGGCGGAGGGGGATGGCGGGAGCGGGCGGGGCGGGAGGGCGGGCGGGGGGCGCGGCGGAGGCGCGGGGGGAGGCGGGGCGAGGAGGCGGGCGGGGAGGCGGGCGGGGAGGCGGGGCGGGACGCGGGGGCGGGAGGCGGGGCGGAGTGGGGCGGGACGGCGGCGGAGGCGGGGCGGGGAGGGGCGGGGCGGCGGAGGCGAGGCAGAGGCTGAGGGCAGAGGCGGTGCAGGACAGGCCGGGGGGCGGGGCGGACGGGAAGGCGTGGAGTGGGGCGGGAGAGTGGAGTGGGCGGGCGGAAGAGGTGGAGTGGGGCGAGACAGGGCAGGGCGGGAGCGATCAGGACACAGCGGGGCGGAGCGTAAATAAACACCCAGTCGACGCCGCCGGGTTATTTTAGCCATCTACTACAACAATATGAGTTGTTTCAAACGAGACCTCTCCTGTGCAGACAAACACACTGTCGAGCTACGTCTCACTGAACTGCGCGGGAAAGTTTAAATATATAACCGTTCATGTCTGATAACTTATGCGTGATCAAGTAATGGATTTTTTTCTGCAAAACGAAACCAATTTATGGCATGAAGATAGTTGCAAAATTAAAAACGATATTTAGTATTGTGTATTTTTTGTTCGCTATGACGTTTAATGTTTAAATAGTCCCTAAACATTTAAATCACCTCTCTGATCACTTTCTAAAATCCACTAACTCCCCCTACTAAATTAAAATAAAGGAAGCAAATCTTCATGCTCTCTAATATTTGTTTGGTTATTTTAACGCCTGGGCACTTGGGGTTTCATCCACTGCCTCGCCCCCCCCCCCATGCACACATTGGCTGAAATTGCTGAGAAATTTTGATTTGGCACCCTTGAGGCCTCCGACCCCATGCAATGGTCGCCGTGCTCGCTTTCCATGACGCACCCGAGGTTCGATTCCCGGTCGGGGCAGATATTAGTGAGCGCTTTCCTTGCAGTGTCCCAATATCTGATGTTGGGTGAAAATGAGATCTCTTCACTTCTCAGGTTGACAATACCAGAATACGATGTAGGGTTTTCTATGTTCTTCTCTCACGTACACCTTACTCGTATCCCATTGCCGCAAGGTCTAGATGCCACTTGTAGGCCTCGGCCCCGTCAAAGGCCAATCGTACACACTGAACACAAAGGCCAATCGGTGGGTTTACCTTTGTCGGCATTTAGCCAAGATTCTTTAAAATTACATTGTGCCTTTTCCGACCCTCAAAAATTCACGCTCTTCACTCGGGATCAAATTCACGCCCCGGACATTGAGAAATTAGTGAAATAATAAGCTATTTAATAATTATTATATTAAACCTTTGATATTCCTGCATTCCTTTTTATAATCATGTAGGATGATATTTAATATTCATGCAGGATAAATGTTAGTGGTACCGGTACTTCTTTACTGTATTGTTAACGAGCTATCAAGGCAAACGGACGTTTTTGAGGACTTTCAGTACAGGGTTACAGTTTTCGAAATTTATTTTATACGCAATCCCACCATACTCTAAATTTGAAACAAAAATTCCACAACTTAAAACACAAGGAACGAAGACAAAAAATTGCAACATTATAGAACTAACAAATTTAAAAGTGAAAAATTTAATGAAGGATGACTATTATTGCTTGATATCGCTATTAGATTGAGATCTCTTACACGTCTATTTAAATGCGTGTTGAATTATTCAAATACCATACATATAATTTTTAATCTTAATACACGAAAATTGTATGGGAACGTTTGATCCACAAAAACGTTCGAACCACTACTAGAGCAGTTGCGTCAAATTTCGAACGGACACTTTTTGAAAGAAAAATCTCGGGAAGTTCGGGATGCTAAACACTAAGATTAGTTAACCCCACTATGGGTTTAGAGATGGTGCAACTCACAATGCATCTTCGTAGAAATGTTGCCGCATGGCGCGGAGCGGGGCTGTACGAGCGGAATGGAAGAGCAGAGCATGAGGGATGAGAGTGTTGGAGCGGATGATTGCTATGCATAAATACACGGCAACTCCGGGTAATCACGCAGTTATGTATATTTTTGGGAGTACCAAATGGAA